TGTGTTTTGGGTATAAAAAAAATACATTTTAGAAAATAAACAATATTTTAGGATAAAGTTATTGCCTCTTAATAAATAATTAATAGTATCATGTTTACTTTTACACCATCGTTGCAAGTAATCAATAAACCTTTACTATGAACAATAGCTGGAATTTTAAGTGTATCAACAGTCACAAGGTCACCAGTAGGTGATTCATTTTTCCAAATAGATGATTTGTATAATTTTACTTCTGTTTCGTCTATGATAGTCCAAGCACCTGGAGAACTGTCCAACCCTCTAATGAAATTCTGAATATCTACTCCACTTTTAGACCAATCTACCTAAAATCAAAATATTAAGTTATAATAGATCCTTCAGAATTGTACAATTTATGCGGTACTTACTTTTTGTAAAGCCTTTTTTCTTACAGATGGTTCAAAAGAAGACCCTTCTGTAGATTGGGGTATAACTGGGGCTGTATTATTTGCCACCATATCAACAGCTTCAGCCTGAATAATTTATAATATAATTTATTTTTGTCAAATAGATAAATGTTTGACTATGTGTTTACATAAAACTTTCATTATTTTTTTTTTTAATAAAAATAATGGAAATATACAAGATAATATCATAATTACTATTGTATAAGCTATTTATTTTTAATAATAAGAAAAATCAATATAATAAACGTTTTTTTAATAAAACTCATAATTACCATACTTTTGATGCCTTCAGGATAAAGAAACCGATTGTACAAAGAATCAACAGTATCATCTGGTAAAACTGGGCATGATTTTTGAGACAAAATTGGGCCAGTGTCAAGTCCATCATCAGCCCAAAATATAGAAAACCCAGCTTCCTTGTCTCCATTTATCAACGTCCTAAAACAATACATATTTAATTATAAATTAAAAAAATGGAACTCATTATATTATCTTACCAATTTATAGCACTAACTCCTCTATGTTTAGGTAAAATCGAAGGATGGTAACATATACTTTTATGTTTTGGATGTTCTATGACCTCCATAGGGATAAACTGTGAACAGAACGGTAGCACATTGAGTTCAGCGTCAACTTGTTTATACTGTGCTACAATTTCAGGTAATGCATTTTCACCTTTACGCCACGATTTAATTTTGAATACTGGAGTATTATTTTCTGAAGCAACAGCCGCTAAATACAAAAAAGAAAAATATCAATAAATAATTATGCGTAAAATTAAAAAAAAAATTTACACATATATATTTTTGATCCATTAAAAGCAGTCTTTAGTTAACAGCCGAACTATAAAAAAATAAATATAATTAATATAGATCAACTATAGCAATCGTATTCCTACATCATTTAATATTCACTCTCTACAGAGTCATAATTTATGATTCAGTAAGTCAGTAAATTCAATTTTTAGTTTATTTATTAAAGAGTAAATCTAAAGGAATAAAACTTAAAAATATCATTAAATACATGTTCAGTAAAATTAAATATTTAATTATATTTTGTAAATAAAATTCCAATTTTGAAATCTCTTTTTTTTAAATCCTATCTTTTTATCACATGAATTTAATATGAATTTGCCTTTTTTGTTAATTTTAATGATTAGGTATATAAATTATGTAACTACTGATAAGTAGGTATTCTAATTTAAATGTAAGTTATACATGTAATATTATATTTTATTTTTAATTTCATTTTTTTAATAAGCTTACAAATGTATTCTATTTTTAATTTATTTGCACTAGTATTTTTTTTTTTATATATATAAACTAATATTATTATTATTATTTAAATTGGACATAATTAGTTTTAAATAATTCCTATTATTGATAACAATTATTACTATTAAAATAAAAATTGAGAATATTTCAATTAAATTTAACTGTAATATTTCTTAATTGAAACATAGAACAATTTAAAATTGAATTGACTTGCCTACAATAGTTCAATTATATAGAAAGATTTATATTAGCATTGATTTATATTTATAACAAATAATACTTGTAATTAAATGGGACCAATTTGATTTATTTTATACTTTAATTTACATTAACTATTACTAACTATAAAGTTATTATTAAACTAAAATTTGAACTATTTGAACTAAATTATCAATAATAAGTAATTAGTGTTTAGTACAAAGTTTAACATTTGAAATTTGAATCTAAATATAAACTTTGTAGATATTAAATATTAATAATAGATAAGAAAATTATAATTATTATTATTATTATTATTTATTATTTTTTTTATTAAACTGTTCATTAAATTTTCATTTAACTATTATCAGGAAAAAAGAAAATTATCATCAATAAAAATGTGGGTAGAAATTGTTTATTTATTTTATATGTTTAAAAAAATCAAACAAATTTTATACTTAATAGCAAAATAAAATTGAAAGGATTAGGCGTATTAACTTTTTATAGTAACATTATATGATTAATAATTTTAAAAAAAAATCGTTAATTTATTTAATTTATTAAATATTAGACTAAGATATAAAAAATATTTTTTTATGAATAATTTAAAATTTTTTATAGTTAAATAACAATGACATTTGTTTTTGGTTCTTAGACTTTCACAAAAATAATTATAAAATTAAAAATGTTATTATTCCATAGTTTTTTTGATAAACAAAGATCAATAATGTATAATTCATAACTATATGAAATTATTCGATACCTACCCAATGGATCTTGCCGATTGCCTTTGTCTAATATAGTAAATACACCAACTACACGGTGACCGTTTTTCAACAACAATTTATACACTTCAGCTGCAAAAGTACTCTGACCAATTATGGCAACATTTAGGTCTCGTTGGTTGATCTACAATGAACATTAGAGTTATTAAGGTGACTGAAACTTAAAAAATCATACTTACAAGACCAAAACGGCTTAATGGTCGACATTTGGTAAATTTTCTGAGCATCAACATGTTAAAAGTCGCTAACAAGTAGTAACTAAAGTCTACAATTGCCCAGACAAGTCAATACTCAACTAATTAACTATTAAACTATTTTTACTAACTTAATTCTAAAGACACTTTGCTTGCACCAAAATACACAACCGTAGCCGAATCTAAAATCTAAATGCTAGTATTTAAATGATCTAATTTAAAAAACGACTGAGTTCACAATCCTACAATCGGCATCCAGTGACTGAGGCGATAAGACGATAAAGAGGACGCACATAATATAACTATAGTTAGTAGTGTTAGTACCCATTAAATCATCAGGACGCACACGTGGACGTACAATTATTAGATAAGGTTTATCAATTTATCACGACGAATACGCACAAGGCACAAGTACTGAAAAATACAACCACAACATTGAACATCAATCATCATATTTCGTTAGGGTCTCGCTCGTCTCGGATATTACAATATTATTGTAAAAATGACTGCAATGAACAGTTTTGTTTAATTTCGGCGGTAAATAATCTATTCTGAGGTAAATATTCGATCATTACGCAGTGATGAATAGTGGATATTAAGATACAAAGTTTCATTATGTTTCTCACTGTCCTATTGTCGAAACTAATTGTGACATAAAATTAAAAAAAAAAAATGAATTTATTAATGTCATTTGTAATTATTTTTATAATATTTTGAATTGGCTTCAATCGTTTATATATTATCAATAAAAAATTAAATAATCAGTAATAGATTTACTTACTAATTAAAAATAAGTACAATGTTTGAATGCTTACTATGAATAATTAATATAATTAGAGATTTAAGTCACTAATTATTTAAATTATTATAAATTATCAAGTTATGTAGTTCATTGATTACGTTGGTTACTTTATTCGACAGGCTATTATTTATTCATATTTGTACATACGTATGGTCCCAAAGTGTTTTTTGTTTTATCGATTTTAATTTCATAATATTTTGTTGTTCAACGTTAATAAAATTAATTTTATTATCAAATAATTATTCAAGTTATAATTCTTTTAAACGAATCATAAAAATTGTATAATGTAAGATTTTTAATTTGAGTAAAATATGGTGTGTAGAATAAATGAAATAAAAAATTCGATAAGTATTGTTTTTATGGAAAAATAAAACAAAATTATTCTGTCACCAACATTTTTTTTTCGTATTGACTAATAAATTATTTATAAACTTCAAATGGCTTAGCCACAATATGAAATCCAGTTTTTGCCTGTTTGGCTGTAGCCTGTAGTCATGCGTGGAGTGGTGGTATTAATTCATTGTTCTCTAACAAAGCCGTTATACTTAACAGAACAACACAGTCAACACACGATGACTATAAATTTCAAAAATCTGCAACTTAGTTGTCTAGTAGAACTTTTCAAGTTTATTTTGGTGAAAAAATCACGTATCTACGACTAACAGCTCGGACGAAAAAGCACAAATAATATATTTTAACGAACACCATCGTTGCAGAGGATATCTGATGATCTTGAGGAAAGACCTTCAAACGAGATTTAGTGAACCCCGAGTTTGTGGGTCCACTACTAAGATGATGTTTTTCACTGCCGAACATCGCATTAAACGTAACGCTTGCAGAGAAGATCGAAGTAGAGTGCGCACTACTACGCAAATTTCGGCAGATGTTTCCAATACCGTAGCAAGTGCGGTGACCGAGACTATGGTATACTACAGTGGCGTAACTTCAAAATTTGGGCCCGGGAGCGAAATTTTCAACGGGCCCCCCATCGTCCAGGTATATATATTAAGAAGATCCAGGGGAGTGTATTCACCTTACTAAAATTACTAAAAAAAATTTTTTTAAATAAAAAATATTAATTTAATACTTCATATTATATACATACAAAAAAAATTAGTAAACAGTCATAGCAGTTGTAACAAATAATAATTAACTCTAATTAACCTTAAAACATTCTTCTGGACTTTTTATTTGTCAAAGTAGAAATAATATCTGACGTATTAATTTCTTTTGTAATTTTCTTTTCTATTGATATTATAGCCAAACTTGACAGACGAATTTGAGACATCGTACTTCGAAGATAGTTTTTAATTATTTTGAGTTTAGTAAAACTTCTTTCTGCGTTCGCCACCGTCACTGGTATTGTCAAAAAAAGAAAACAAGCTGTACATAAATCTGGAAAACTTGCCGCTATTAAATAATTGTCAACAATTATAAATTTTACCAAATCATATACAGAATTTAATTTTGAAATTTGATTTTCAAACGAACGTTTAAATTGAATAATTTGGTTGACTAAATCTATTGTTAAATCATTTTCATAATTGTTTACCAAAGAAGTAGTTAAATGTTTAAGTTCATTTTCATTCATTGAACATATATTAATTGGTAATATTGAAGAAAAACGTTTTATTACTTGGTTCATACCATTAAAACGGTGTTCGAGTTGTTTGATAATTATGTCCAGAGTACGATAGTAAATTTGTGTTTTAAAATATTGTTCAGCATCATGGAGACGTTCATCGTTACTTAATTCATCAAAATATTTAGTTGTTTTTGTTTTTCTTATTTTAGTGAACGTTGGCTCGACTCCCCACAAAATTGCTATTTGTTTAGCTTCCTCGAACACTTCTTCAAATTTATCACGCATTTCTTTTATTTTATTTAAGGCTGTTTGAAGCAGTTCAAAAGCTTTAAGTAAGTCTATATCCGATTTTTGTAGCAATAGTGACACAATTTGTAATGAGTTGAGAATTTTTGATTCGATGACAATTATTAAAATTACATCAAACTTTTGAAAATAGTTTTGAAGACCTGACGCTTTACCTTTTTCATCTTTATTTCTACCCATAAGTGAAATATATGCTAAAAGTTTTAAAATATCTACGTAAAGCAAACTAAGCGCTTTTAAACAATCATTTCGTGAAGACCATCGAGTAGTACATAGTCGTTTGAGTGAAATAGACACAGAACTCACTGATTTTAAGTGTGCCCACCTTTTAATACTATTTGCAAAATATGAATAAAGGCATTCAAGTTTTTCATAAAAATTTTGAATTTCAGTAATATTTTTAACCGAGTCATTAATTACAAGATTTAAATTGTGAGCGGCGCAATGTACGTATAATGCAAGTGGCTGAGTGTGTTTGATACGTGCTTGTAATCCACTATAAACACCACTCATGTTAGCAGCTCCATCAAATCCAATCCCTCTTAACTTTTTAATATCAATTTTATTTTTTTCAAAATTATTGTATAGTTGCTGTTCCATTTCACAACTCGTTTGGCCCTCCATAATTTCAAATCCAATGAAACGTGCACTGTTTCCAATTAACACCCGTGGGATGAAGCCGCTAAAAAAGTTATAGTTGAAAAGTAGACAGGCACACTAAGTCTCATCTAATAATAATAATTTAAATACAATTTATTAAATAAATTTATAATATGAATTATTCAAAGTTTTCTGCGTTATGCACTAAATATTATTCAAGTCGCCTTAAAAATTCAGTCGAAGTTGCCGCTTTGATTTGGTCTTCTCTTAAAATATTATATGTTGCTTGTATTTTGTTTTTTAAGTCTTAATGATTACCAGGTAGATATATGTATAAGCCACAGTTTTTGGATGTCTCCATGATAAAAATCTAATGGTGTTCGAGATTTTTTACACGCACAATTAAATTATTTAAGTAAAGTAATAAAATTATATACCTATTTATCAGGAATATACATCATTTATACATATAAATATTTTCAAAATAATATTTTGTACAGTTCCATAAAAAATATACGACTTAATGTAAACTTAATACTTAATAAATTACATGATAATAATTGTTTGTAAATATATTTTATCTGGTTTAAATATAAAAGCATACAAACATTATAATAATATTATATATACAAATTCGTTACTATATGAGTTTATGAATAAACAAACATCGATCGTTCAATATTTATTTAAAAATGTATCTAGCTAATGAATTTGTGATCGGTTTTTCATTTGGAATTATAAGTATTGTCGGAATACATAAAATGCATGTTTATGCATTAAAGTACTGCGGGCTTAGTAATTCAACTGACTATGAAAGTGACGTGCAAAGCAAAGAGGATTTAGAGGTAAACAAAATAAAACACATATCTAATTCATAAATTGTGAATCATAAATGTAATAGCTCGACATGCTTTACCCATCTTTGAAATTTTCAACAGATAGAATGGATATAGGTGTGTTAAATCTATTTATTTGATAAAATATTGAATTGAAACATTTTTTTTTCTTAAGTATTTTTCGTATTTTATAACTTTAAGAAAAAGTTTTAAAAGTTCATAACAGAACTTGCAAATGTTACAATAACATTATATTTGACAAAAAAGATTGAATTTTGTAAACGTAATTATAACGGAAAACGATAAACATAAATAATTAAATAACACAAAACAAAACGATTAACAAAATATATGATATATCATCAAACAAAACATAACGCAAAACGATATACGATGGTATATCATAAGAAATAATTAATTTCCAATTATTTAATAGTTATAAATTATAAAATATACTAAAAATTTTAACTCTGACTAACGTTAAACGCAAAAGTTGAATAACGTTTAAATTCTGAATAACGATAAACGCAAAAGTTAAATAATATTTAAATTCTGAATAACGATTAACTCAAAATTTGTATAACGTTTTAATTGTAAATAACGTATAATAAAATATTATTTTCAAATGCAAGACCTAGTTCATAACTGTTTATAAGTCAATAAAAATTCTTTTAAAAATGGGGTGGGAGCAAACTCCTAACCGATTTTGTGATTTATTATTTTAAATAATATTTTCCGACATTCAATAGCAATATTTGTGAATATTAAAATACATTAACTCCAAATTTTTAAAATAACATAGGTAGGTAAATATATTAAAAGGAAATTAAATGTATAATGATTATAATATATATTACATCGTAATATAAACTAAAAAGTAATATTATTCATTTATATTGTTAGGATGACGAGGATGACAAGTTTCTTGATGCAGAAACTAAAAGTGAATTTTCGAGTGTCAGTGGAAACATGTCTGATAATATTTTAAAAACATTTAACACAATAATTGAAAAGAACTTATTTCTAGAACAGAAATTTAACACATTAGAAGGTTAGATTATTTTAAAAATTCAAATTAATATATTATAAAATACTTTTTGATTAAAATTTTTTTTAATAATTCATTATTTTCTAGAACTGTATAGAGGCGAAAAAGAGAAAAGAGTATCTATAGAATTACAAGTATTAAACAATTATTTTTTGAATAATCGCTTTGATATTAATGAATAGTTTTAAATTAATTTTCAGTTACAAGATTTTGAAGAACGTTTCTTAATGAACTTATCACAAACACGTGAAGTTACGGGTATGCAAGAATTATCGGAGACAGTCCAGGAACTACAAACGACAGTAGAGAAGCAACAATTGATGATTGAAAATAATAATAGGTGTAATGAAGAATGTTTTAAGGAAAAGATTAATGAATTAGAAGGTTAGTTTTTTATGTATTTAAATTAATACACTATCAAGTATTTTTTAGTCAAAAACATTTAATAAAATTTAATATTTTCTAGAACAATATAAAGGTGTAGAAGAGAAACTGAGATCTGGAGAATTACAAGTATTAAACAAATAATTATCGAATAACTATATAAATAATAATCGTATATTGATTTCAATGAATGGTTTTAATTTAATTTTCAGTTGCGAGATTTTGAAAAACGTTACCTAACGAACTTAGCACAAATTCATGAAATTATGGGCGTGGGTGGATTATTAGACACTGTTAAAAATCTACAAACGATAGTAGAGAAGCAACAATTGATGATTGAAGAAAATATTAGTTGTGATGAAGAACGTTTAAATGATAAAATCAAAGAATTAGAAGGTTAGTTTTTTATGTATTTAAAATTTAGATTAATATACTATAAAATATTTTTTAATTCAAAATATCCTATAAAATTTAATATTTTCTAGAACTGTATGGAGATGAAGAACAAAAAAAAACATCCAGAAAGCTACAAGTATTAAACAATTACATTTTCAAAAATCTATTGAGCAATAATTATATTGATATTAATAAATTCGTTTTGATTTAATTTTCAGTTGCATCATTTTGAAGAATGTTGCTTAATAAACAAAGCACAAACCTGTGAAGTTACGGATATGCGTGAGTTATCGGAGTCTGTTCAGAAACTACAAAATACTATAGAGGAGCAGCAATTAATGATAAAAAAAAAGGAAAATTGTGATGAAGAATTGAAGAGTTTAAAATTAGATATGACCACTGTTAAAAACAATTTGAACTCGTTGATCCCAAATATCAACAATCTTGGCACTCAGATGATGTCTATAGAAAGTAGTTAACTCAGAGTTATAACATTTTAATTTTAAATTTAACTAATTATCATTTAGGAAACATTGGAGCCCCCAATAGCAAGATTGACAAACTGAACAGTCGAATCGAAATCCTAGAAAGTAATTTAGAAAAAATTAGATAATAATGATATCACATAATCACTAATTATTCTTATGTCATGGGTTTGTGTAGGAGAAGTGACAAACAATTCTACCCACATTATTAGTAAGAATTACTACAATCGAACGTTCTTGTCAAGACCGAGTTTGGGAGGTGCTGGTGCAGTTACTTCAGCAGTAAATAATTTTGAATCAAGCCAGCAAAACGTCTCAATGTCGTCAATTACGACTATGAGGTCAGCATCGCAACGGCTTGCAGTTTTAAATCTACCGCCTTCTCCACCGCCACATACTTTAGCATCGGCATTTTTAGTATCTCCGTCCAAATCTCCATCACCATCACCACCACCAGCACCACTAGTACCATCACCATCACCATCACCACCGCCATCACCACCACCAGCACCACCAGTACCATCACCCTCACCATCACCACCACCATCACCAGCGCCACCACCACCGATATCTAGTATACCAGATTTAATAATATATTGACCAAAGCAATTCATCCCTACATTTTCAAATGTTATACAGTGTATGTGTATGATGTACACAATATATAAATATAATTGTATTTTTAGTTTTTTTTTTTTTTTAATCCCCTTCCGTTTATTTTGATTTGCGGCCCGCGTAATATTTTAAAATATTTTATATACTTAGTTCAAATCAAAAAAAATGTTGATTATGACTGACTTAGTGGATACTGGATACATTATATTTAATTACACCGAAGAATACCGCCAGATGGCTCTTATGTTGAAGGTCCACTGTGCCGGGATATTGCATCGAGTCACTGTCGATTTCGATACGTCTAACACGTTTTACTTGAGTTCTGTTAACAAGACGACCATAAATTAAACCAAAAAGAACGCATCTATAAATATTACAATTAATAAATTCAGTACACTTTGTGCAAAAATTCGACGAATGAGGAGTATGTGGACAGCTAGTGTTAGGCAACTGACGCGTTTTATAACTAATGGTTAGCGTCACCCAATCACTTAAGATCATACTTCACAGGATCATTTCTGTAGTGTGCATCGTCCCCTCCAGGTGCAAATCTGGAGTTGTCATCAGCCACGATGATGAGATTTGTCCGATTACCAGAGCGTGAGGCCTGCTAATGTTCATCAACTGTCATCAGTGATAATCATTTAGCGACGATGATCGCGACCAGCTTTGCTGGGAAGGTACTCGGTCAGTCTGAGTGGTGTTCTCCCTTAAAATGAAAATAAATTGTCGAACTGACAATGTTGAATTGTCTAATTTGTGATTTATTCGTTATTCGGCGTTGTCGTATTAATGTTAGAATTGCACAAATTCAATTTGTCTAGTCATTTTTGTTATCGTTTATTAATACAACAATCAAGAAGCCAAACAAGAGAACATAGACACACAGTAATTCTTGTGTACTATATTGAACACTAAAAAGTATTGATTATCGTCTTACATTTCCGCCATTTTCGAAACCAGTTCCTTTAATGTTGTTACTTGTTTGACGACATTTATTTTGTGTTATACAAACCCAATATGAACTTTTTATTTTTAAGGTAACAGAATTTAATTTTAATTCTTTAAAATATCATCTCTTTTGATTTCAATATTCATGCTACAGGTCTACAGACTATAATTTTATGACTTATGACTAATGAATTATATAAAATAAATAAATATGAGCCGGTATTATTTATGATTTAATACATATCTATTTAATTCTATTATATTATTTGTATTATTTTATAATCTTTATTATATTGTATTGGTGGCCACTGGGCTAGAATAAGGACTATATAATAATTGTCTTACATATAATGTCCTTATAATAATTTTAGTTCGGCCACAGCCCACGAGGATTACAATAATTCTTATTTATCTCATTGTATTATTGTATTTTAAATGTTATAATCATTTATTACAATATTGTTGTACAGCAACACTTATTAATTTTATTATTATACTTATACATATATTATATTATTATATTATTTTTAAATACTGAAAATGACCGTTCCACGTCAATAAAAATATTAAAAATAGTCTTAGTCTATAGATGCGTACTTAAAATTAACAATATCGTATTATACTATTTACACTATTATAATACGTATCTCGTAAATATGATACTAATTACTAAGTATAAAAATAATCATTAAATATTTAGTTGTAAAATAAGTTCATAGATTTAGAATTTAAACTTAAATAATTAAAATTATGTCAAAATGTAGTTTTTGATATGATTCTTAAATCTTAATACGCCAAAAAGTATGTAAATTACGTAGTTCATACTTGAAACTGTTGAGAGTAGTTTATGACTATGAGATGTTTTATAATTGACTTTTTAAAAGATAATAAATGATAATGTAGTGATAAAAGATAAAACACCGTTGACAGTTTATCACAGAATATAAATTTTATTATTACTGATGATAAATATTAATGATAATAAGATAAATAAATTTCAAATTTTTTTTCAACTTACTTTAGAGTTTAGACTATATAATTTAATAAATACTATACTACTTTAGTATTTAATTATAGCTATAACTTATTATAAATTAACAACAATAATTGACTTATACAATTGTAGACAATAGTTATTGATTACAGTTAGAGATTAAAAAAATCATTCCAATTCTGTAGCTGTCATTTTAGTTTACTGTTCAAACTGATTCGTCAACATTGAAAACTTAGTTCTAAATCCATATTTGCTGTTTTGGTTCACTGTGTTTTCTAGTTTTGATCATTTGAGTGAAGATATTACTCTTATATCTGGTAGGAAAATGTCAGCAAAAGTAATTGATGGCAGTATATTAGAAGGTGTAAGTGGTAAAATTAAAATATTGTTAATTATTTTATAATAAGTATATATTATTAATTTATTAATTTTTATTTTAGAATTTAATTTTTGACTATCTATTTTTATAGTACTTATATTTATGATATTATTATAGGGTGGCCAAATTCTACGATTGTCTGTTGCATTTTCATGTCTCTTAGAGCAACCTATATTAATTAATAAAATAAGAGCTGGTCGATCTAATCCTGGTTTGAAACCTCAACATTTAGCTGGTAAGTATTAATAAATAAAAGCAATTCTATTCAACATTAAATATAGGTTTGTAAGGTAAATAATAATTAATAAATATTTATAATATGATTTAAAATATAGATGATAATCCCCAGGTGTTAATTTTAAATTAGATTTCTTTAATACTTTTTTTTTGTTGGTTATCTTTATTCAAAATTTCAAATACCTTTGTAAAATTTCTTATATTTAAAAAAATATGCAAAATACAAGATAATTACAATTTTAAATTTGACTTGTATGTATTATGAAATAAATTTGTATCAAATCAAATTCTTAACAACATATATAGCTTCTTATGAAATATAATTGCGTGAAGTTTCTGAGGTTTGCTTACAGTTATTTAATTAAGAAATTAAATGATCAAATATTTTAAACACGTTTTAATTTTAATATGCTTTATAATTGTAAATAAATATTACATATTGTATAATTTATGTAATACATAATTACATGGTTGGAGTTTGTAGAAAAAAAATGCCTAATTCAAAATAAGATTTAATTATAACTAATTAGCCAGATTTGTTAAAAAAAAATATCATTAATGTGTAACCATATAATTGGTACAGTCAGAATCCATAGATTATTCTTAGATAATTAAGCTTAAAAAAATCTTTTAAAAAAAAGAAAGACTGTATAAGATTAAATACATAATTTAAACCTGTTGACTTTCAACAATGAACTCAAAACTTGATATTGTTTAGTTATATACCTAAATCAAATATGTTAAAAGTATTTGTATGTTTTTATATTATTTTTAATCTATATACAAAAATAATTGTGTTATAGGAATCCAATTAGTTAAACAAATGTGCAATGCAACTACAAATGGAGACCGGCAGAACTCCTGTGAATTAACATTTCAACCAAAAACTCTAAAAATGGGAAATTTCAATTTAAATGTCAATTCTCAAACTGCTGCGTATGATTATAAAAATATTAATAAAATAATTTGTAATTTTAACCATTTATTTTATAGGAGTATTCCTTTAATGATACAGGCAGCTTTACCTGTAGCAATATTTAGTAATCATAATTCCAATATAACTATGAAAGGAGGAACTGATGTTAGTTTTTCTCCTTCGATGGATTATGTTAAAAATGTAATACAAAAAATTTAGCTAAAAAAAAAAAACGCTATTAATATTAATTTGAACTATTAATATTATTTCATTTTAATGTTATGCATTTTGCATAATAGGTTTTATTTCCTATTTACAAGTTATTTGGTGTTCATTGTGAAGCACTTATAACTAAACGGTAATAAGTCTTTTAGAAATTGTATTAAGTGACATTAGTTTCATTTAACTCTTTTTTTTTATTCCAGAGGATTTTATCCTAAGGGTCGTGGAGAAGTAGTGTTGACAGTAAATCCTGTTTCTGAATATTTAAAGCCTGTTGAAATTAATAATTTTGGAGGTCATCCAGCTATAAAAGGATTTATATTTATTAGTGGACCAAAACCTCAAAATAACAAAAATAACCAGGTAGGTACATAATATTATTTTATTATCATAACATAATTTTTATTTGCACGTAATTTGTAGAATTAACATATAATTTATTTATACGAGTAGTAACAGTATACTTACTACTAACTTATTTGAGAAATCTCTCTTATTAAAAATATATTGTTAAATATTGCTATGTTTTTATGTAAAATAATTTTGACAACACTTTAGTTTTTAAATAATTAAGTTACTATTATGATTATGAGAAACTGCTAATGATGTTTTTAAATAAAATAAAAAAATGTTATAAAAATAAAAATGAATGATTACAAACCTAATAAACTAAATAATTTCTATAATATTGATTCCTAAAGTTTTAAGAGTAAAATCTAATTTAACATTTTTAGCCAATTTAAATCATCTAGTAGGCACGGACTAGTAACATAGTAACTTAAATTATTTTTTTTATAGACAAAAATCATAATATTCCATATAAAAAAAATGATTATGTTTTTAATTTAATAATACTATTCAGATAGTTCAAGATATAGCAACAGCTGTCAAAAATAAATTAAACCTGTCCGGTTATCATAAAATTACAATTGAAACTGAGGTTGGAAATTCAGATGGTTCTGGTGGAAGCTTAGTGTAATCTCAATTATATTAAAAATAAATTAAACTATTTATATTTTTTCATTTTATAAATATTATCTAAAATATATTTTTAGGTTGGTTGCTGATACTGGAACCTGCTTGATTGGTTCATCTGCTTTATATGATATGAGAAAATCAACTGTAGACAGTATCACCGATGAAGCATGTGATAAACTTTTATTAGATTTGGAAGTAAAATCATGTGTTGACCCTAATGCATTAGATAATGTAAATGTTATTTTAATATTTATCATTTAAATATACTTGTGAATAGTCATAATATTATATTTTAAGGTTAATGTTTAAAACTATTAACTAATGTATTTTATTAAAGCTCATTATTTTTATGGCACTTGCAAATGGAAAATCAAAAGTGAAATGCCGAGAAATCACTTTGCACACTAAAACTGCAATTTATATTGCTGAACAATTTACTGATGTGAGTTAAATTACTAAATTTTAGTCTATCATTAATTTTTATATTACAAAATTAATATTTATTTGATGTGTTAATTAATGTAATAAAATTAATTTTCAGGCTAAATTTAGCATCAAACAATTGGATGATAGTTTAAATGAAATCATCTGTGAAGGCATCGGGTTAAAAAATTTCTAATTCTTATTTTAATAATAAAAGAAATGTAATTAATTTAAGATCGACAGCATTTTTCTATTATACTTTTACAATTAAATATCCAATACAAATAAAAAATATTTAAAATCATTAGTCTTATTTATTCATACACTATACAGACTTAGCTCAAATTTTTTTGTACTTAGCATAATTCCAAGTTATTGTACTTAAAATGAGTACTTTTATATTTTATTTATAGTAAAAAAACAATTAAACTTGAAATAAATAAGTTTTAAAATATTTTATTATTTAATATAATTTTTATCAGATTTTTGTTTTATAATGTCAATATTTAAAATTTGATTACCAAACAGTGGTGCATTTATAGGTGGCATCAAATGGAAAATTTATTGTTTTTGAAGAAAAACATTTTAATAGTAAAAATATGATTAAAAAATTTGCATCGGTAATTGGTCTATATCTGTACATTGTTTAGCGATTAAATTAATACATTAGTTATTACTTTATTAACTAATGAATTTTATGATGTATATTATAGGTTATATATTTATATTAGCTATCTATTTATTATTTAAACTATAAACATATATTTTATACTTTAAATAATCTCTTTACAATTATTCTTCTATTATAAAAGTTTAAATTTAAAGAATTTAGTACAAAATTCATGGTCTTTTACTAAAGAACATTAAATTAAATGACAAATTAATATGAAATAAGGACCTAGAAATAAGCAAAATGCTATTATCAATTTTGATTTTCATTAATTTGCATGTGCAATGTATAATTTTTGAATTCATTAAGGTGAGGTTGTAGGTAAATATTTGTACATGCAATTTATGTACAATGATATTATTATAATTTTATGGAATTAATAAATTAACTTGAATAGGTTTTATTGTTTTTGTTATCATAAAGTATATGATCTTGATTACTGAAAATCTTAAGAAGTTAATATCGACCATTTTTCATTTGGATTAATGTTGTAAACTTGATGCTGTGTCTGGAACAAAATAGGTATAGTCGTAAAATGTTATACAACAAAATGGTAAAGGTCTTAATGGTTACAGCGTCTATAGATATTATACATCAGAATCTGTGGTCAAATTTTCAAAACTGCAATAAAAATTGTTATAAAATGTATGTAGTAAGTAGATTAGTAATAACTAAGGTGTGGATTTATATGTATATACATATTTGTAACAAGTAATGGTAATCGAACAATTCTTTAGAAATAGGTACGTTTCAGAATCATTTGAATGCTTTATTGAAGTTTACTATGTAAGCTTACTTACATACTTTAACATAATTTACTTTTTTACATATTTTTGTTAAATATTCCCCTATATTTAGAAAATCATCGTTGTCGCTGTTAAATCTGCAGACGTAGAAAGGTCCTTTATAGGGATGTACATAGAAAAAAGTTTTGAGGGATTTTTTTGAAAATCAGTTATTAAATATAGAACTTTTTTTCAATAAATATAGGGAATACACAATAGGTATACCTACCTAATAAAAATGTGCAAATACACAATAGGTATAATTTTATTGTATTTCTAAATCCTATTTAAGTATTTTTATTTGTTTTTTCAAATTATATTAAAATTTTAATTTGTTAGTGTTAAATTTTTATTTTGCTTTAGCAGATTTTTCACAAACACAATGTAATATTATACCTGTCTAAAAGTTTAATATAGCAATTCACATTAAAATTGAATTAGTAAATAATCATACAAATAACCAAATATTTTGGGGGGTGTTTGAACACCCAAAACACCCCTCTGTGTTCGTCCCTGGTTCTTTAGTCGCTACAAGAACATATTGCACTCCATTCGACGTCAATTTACATTAAAAAACCTAAAAAAGTACTTGATCGCTCATTTTTTTACTGACGACGAGGATCCTAGTATTGAATGAATAGTAATTAAAACAGTAATATACAAATATTACAAATATATAACTATAATTACAGTAATATTTTTTTTACGTAGGTATCTTATATTTTTAATTAGGTACATATTTGGATAAAAATAAATACATATATATGTATATATTTTTGAGTTTCAAATATATATAAATCCGCATCCTAGTAATAACTAATAACCCTTCATAATAATTCATTTTTTTTTAATCTGATGAAATCAGAGGAATATCAAAAATCAGATAATAATAAGCAATCACGATTAAAAACAGTGATTTACGATATAGGTAATAAAATTGAGATAAATCATTAATATTTTTTCGGGGACGCAATACTGCGTTAGTTTACTACCGTTATTGTTTCGTTGTTACAGGGGTAGTGGTTTATGGTTAGTGGTTACTTTTGCCAGGGATCAAGGGCTCACTACCTTACGTTATTATTATATACGAAAATTCATTTGTACCCCATTCGTCTTTGTGCAATATATTATGTGCCTGCAAATAATAACTTATTAATTTAGTCACCTAATACTTGTGTATTTATTATTTGTGCAAACTAAACTCATATAAAATAGTCTTTTTAATTTATATAAATTATACAAAATAGCTATAAAAGTATTAAATAATAAACATCAATTATAATATCCAGACATCAGTCTATCGAGAGTAAAGTATTTTAAGTTCTTCAGTGCCCTGGAGATGTTTATTTGTACCCTCATGTGTTGTCTTCGTTATACTAACGCACAACATGAGCTGAACATTTCTACAAAATATACTCATATTCAAAAACATTACCCTCCCTCGCAGTAAAAACCGACTACATGTTAATAACCATTAATGTTGAAGCCTAAAATTTATATTATAAAGTAATTGAGTACATTTTTTACATTTTTAGTGTTTTAAGTTTTTTCTATAGGTAGTTAAAGAAAATGCTTAATGAAATAATTAATGTGTATTTTATGTTTTCTCAAGATCTATTTACTTTTCTTGATTTTTTATTTAAATTCTACGTGATATATGTACTGTACAATTATTTTTATTCAAAATCTTCAATGGTGAATCAACTATACGTCTACCAATTGAAATTCGTGATAATAATAATGTAAAATACTATCTATATACATTTAAATATTTAATCTCTATAACTTTTTTATTTTAAAGACAGTTACACAAAATTTTAACATTTATTAAACACTACCAATGGTATTATTTTATAGAAATAATAATAGAAATAAATGTCATAAATAAGATAATATTTCTTTCTAAAAAACAATAGGTACCTCTTGTAACAAATATTGTTACAATACAATTTTATTGTATTGTGATTTGTAATATAAAAACTGAGTGGTTGAGTGTTATTTTATTGTGGAGCGACGACGCACACCAGCAATTTCGTGTAAAATGTAAAACTACAATAATATGATATTGTAATATCAATTATGTATTATAATTTATAATATGTAAATTAAATAAATAATAAAATCAATTGTATTTGAATATTGAAACATTATAGTGGTACCTATTTATTAGTTTCAAGTGTGTCAATATTTTTACAACATGTACCTACTTAATATTATATATAGGTAGGCATCACAATGGTCATATCGAGAAATGCTTATGAGTTATGATAAATACTAACGTTTTTTGGAGAGTAATAGGTAAAATGTACAAACATTTTATTCCTTTTTACAAATATGACCAAATAATGCCACTGTATTAGACAATAATAATTAATAATCAATATTATATTATTTAAAACTATGATCAAATTGAACATAATTACTTAATCATTCATTAATTTCAATTATTGAAAACATAAAGTAGGTACTAGTACTACGTTATAACTAGTTAAGTAAGTATTTAGATTTTAAATATAAATAATAGGTTACCTACTGAGTACTGGCCACTGGGTTCTATGTAATAACAGTGGTCTTTAATTTTTCTAGGCAACGGACTACATATTTCAAAATAAATGTTGCTGGCTGTATTAGTAATAAAAACATTTATTAAATGGTGTACAATTGTTAAAACATATAACATATTTAAAAATACATTTTATGTTTAAAATGTTAAATGTATTCCTTCAAACAAAGACAAGACGCTGACTTAAGGGTTAGATGTACAATATATCTACATACAAATGTAAGTAAAACATTTTAAAATACATACATTTAAAGTTTTTAGAAAACATAATAAATACCTAAATAGGTACCTTACAAAATAATACCATTCAAAAAGTTTAATTTTAAATAGGTTTATAAGTATTTGTATAATATTATAGTAACCGGCAAGTGATTACCGCTTTAATTTAAAAATTAGAATTCGACTTAGTTGATATTAGACATAGTGACCCTTATCAAGATATATCCAAAGTATCTATATAATGCTATATTTCTTTATCATTTAACATAGCCCAACAAACGTATTTTATAATATTAGTGAATATTGTGATAAAAGTAGTAATGATCATGTTTTCATTTTGAAAAATGTAGTTTTTGTTTTAACAAAAATAATTGATTTTAACTTCGCTTATTATTAAATTAGGTTTAAGTTAATAATTGTAACATGTAATATATTGGTTATCTTGGATTTATGAGAATCGTGTAAACCATTTAAGGGTTTAAATCAGTTATCAATTTATTTGAGTATTATTACAAATAAGTTAAATTATTTACCTAGGTAGTAGGTACTAGATAAAATATTATAATGTCGGAAGAAACACGAATAAATTCTGAACAAATGTTGAGTATGGACTCAAATAAATTGCTTGAACAGTTGAAGCATTATTTCCATCATCAGACATTCAAAAGTGATTTGCAAAAGAATGCCATTATTGCAATATTAAAGCGTAAGTGTATTACAATTATTATTTATTGTTATTTGCATTGTTAGGTAAATTAATTTCAAAAAGTAATAAAGTTATAAAACTTATTAGTTATTACATTGTAATAATACAATAGGATTAATTTCACATTTTTACAAAACTTTAACATATTAACTATTAAGTTGTAGGTAGGCCTACTCCTTTTTTTAAAATCAAATTTAGGTTACTATATTTTATAATATTATTTAGTTCTAAAAAATGTTAATATTGGTAATAGGTACTTGATATATCATAGGTTGATATCTAGTTAAATTGTTAATTTATTGATTATTAGATCTATGCTTAGATTTACATTATATCCAGAATCTTTTATTTAAAATATGGTAGAATAGTGTATAAATATAAGCGTATAAAATATTATACCAGTTTAGAAACAATACAAATAATGTTATGACAAATATTTATGTAGGTATTATATAATATTACTATGGTAAATGGATAATTACCTAAGTTATTTTTGGTAGAATAGGACATTTTCCCTCAACTAAAAAAAAAAATGTATACAGAGATATGCATCATAAAAATTTAGTGTAGGAAAATATACTACTTCAACAAAAATGTCTGAGGAAAAATCATCTTACATTCTATATCTTTAAATATGATATTATAAACATTATAAATACACAATGCATGTTAATATTAATTTTATTGTATCAAATTATAAAAAAAAAGTATCAATAAATATTATGAGTACTAATTAAATACTCTAAAATAGTAAATATTATTAAAAAATTATAAGTTCACCGATTCATTACTATAAATAATAATTTATAGGTACTATCTTATCAGTTAATACTAATAAATTTAATGTTTAATTATGTTTTTTAAAGGAAAATATGATGTATTTGTATCAATGCCAACTGGATCTGGAAAGTCATTATGTTATCAACTACCTGCTGTTCTTCACTCACCTAAAGTTACAATAGTTTTTTCTCCTCTCATAGCTTTAATGAAGGTATAAATCCATTTTCTTGTTTAAGTTTTGAATGAAACCATAATTTTAATTTTCTAATTTTCTTTAGGATCAAATTGATCATTTAACGCGTTTGAAAATTCGTGCTGAAACAATTAATTCAAAAATGACTGAATCTGAACGGAAACGTGTCATTAATGATTTATATTCTGTACAAGTGTCTACTTCATTACTATATGTAACTCCTGAACAAGCAGCTACTGACTTCTTTAAGGTTGATAAAATACATTTTGCAACATTTTACATTAATATTTTGTAATAAATAAAAATTATCACAGTATAATTTAATTTTCAGGGTTTATTATCCTATTTAGTACGAAAAAATAAATTGGCTTTTATAGTGGTTGATGAAGCACACTGTGTAAGCCAATGGGGTCATGACTTTAGACCTGACTATTTAAAGCTGGGATTGTTAAGAAAACTTTATCTTCATATTCCATGGATTGCACTTACAGCTACAGCTAGTGCTGATGTAAATTATACAAAATACTTAATACATTTTTTGACCTATTCTATAATATATTATTCAAGTAATTTAAAATGAATTTATTTAGGTTGTTAAAGACATTATGGATGTATTATGTCTTAAAAATCCAGTCTCAAAGTTTACAACACCATGTTTTCGGTCAAACTTATTTTATGATGTTATATTTGATGATTCTATTGGAAATTCTTATCAACATTTGAAAGACTTTATTGATCAATGTTTATGTGATGATTTTGATTATTTGGAAAATACTCCAAACATAAATCCAGTAAATAATTATTTTTAAATGTTTAGTTATTGAATTAAAATATGTTGATTATAACTTGAATATTTTAGCTGAATCAACCATGTGGTATAATATACTGTAGAACAAGAGAATTAACTGAAGAAATAGCCACAGTTCTAAGTCGGAAAGGTGTTTCTATTGCTCCTTATCATGCTGGTAAAAACATATAATTTAATGTTTTATCAATTAAAATATTCTAAATACTATAATGATATAATATAGGGTTAAAAGATAAAGAACGACTTGCGGTGCAGGAAGCATTTATGAGTGGACATATTCAAGTTATTACAGCAACTGTAAGTTTTGGAATGGGAATTGATAAAGCAACTGTGAGGTTTGTTGTACACTGGGGCATACCATCTAGCATTCCAGCATATTATCAAGAGTCTGGTCGAGCTGGAAGAGATGGAAAATTAGCTCGATGTCGAATTTACCATTCAAAACAAGCAAAAAATTCATTAGATTACATTTTAAAATCTGCAATAACTCAAGCTAAAACTCAAGATAAACAAAAAAAAGCTAAAGGAAGTTATAGTATGTTCCTTAAGATGATACAGTTTTGTGAAAGTGTACAGTATGTTTAACAGTATATTTAATATAATTTTTAAAGATTAAATTATTTCTGCATTTTAATAATTGTTAAACTTTTGTTTGGTAAACTAGATGTAGACACGAATTTTTTGCTGATTTTTTTGGAGATACTAAACCCCAATGTATCGATAAATGTGATGTATGCTCAAATAAAGAAGCTGTAAAAATCGATTTGGATGTATTTATGTATGGAATAAATAACAGGAATCATACAATTGTGTCAAATGAACAACTAGTATCTAGTGATTTTTATGGAGGAGGACGCAATGCTATCAATGAGTATATTTTACTTCCTACTTCAAAGTTTTCAATCACTGATATAGTTACTAATAATATAATTGTTTAGGGAAAGTGAAGAGTACGCACGTGAAGGCGAAAGAGAAGGGCACAAAAAAAATGTAGAATTAGAATTAGAAATAAAACGACAGTTTGAAATTAGACGAGCTAATATACAAAACATTATTAAAGAAAACGAAGAATTGGTAAAAAATTCAAAAGTTAGAGCGGCTGCATCTACAATAAAAAAAGTTAATGGTTTGCAGTTATCAGTAAGTGTTTTTATTGTTTGACATTTTCAATAAAAACATATGGATGAATTATAATATAAAAATCTAAATTTTGGTTATAATTTGAATTAAATATACAATTTTAAAATAAATCAAATTAAGCTATCTTATGTACCTTTATGTTCTAAATGTTAATTATTAAGTAACTTAATAATATTAAACTTATATAAATAAATATAATTATTATTTAAAATTTCTTATGAGCAATTAATTGAAAACTATTATTAAATGATTTTTTTATTTTATAAAATGTAAGTTTAACCATTATAAAAAAGGATGGTACCTATTTATTAAAAATATTTCAAATAAAAACTTTTATTTGAAATTAAATTTCTTAGTCACTTACTAATTATTTTCTATTTAATATAGTCTTAATTAGTTAATTTTTAAAATTTTATATTCTTTCGATCTCACTTTTGATGACATGTATTTAGAGAAATAAACTTGTGTTGTTATGTACTAGAGCGCAAATGTTCTTTTTGTTCATTAATAAATATGAATAGTGAGCGATGTTATTTGAAAGTAAAATTCATGAAATATAATTTAATGAATATTGTTTAAAGCGAAATGAGTCATTAGGTGATTAATTGAAAACTAAAAACAATTTACTGTTAATTTAAACATAGATTTAATAATTTATCTGTATGTCACATAAAGATATAAATTTTCAATAAAGATAAATTATTTAGCTTATAATTTAATTATAGCCACAATTTATTGATATAATTTTATAATTTAATGTAACAATTAATATCTATTTATGTGTATTTATTTAAGGTAAGAGAAGAATTATTGAGGTTCATTGAAGAGTATTTGGAGAAAAATATTGAGGAATGTTCTTTATTTGATTCATTAACAGAATTAACAAAAGATGATATTCATAATATCGCTGTGGATTTAGAATATGAAGCATTTACTAGTTCTAAAGTTGTAGCCGTTTATCGGAAAAAAATTGCTAAAACAGTTGAGTAAAATTAAAACATTTATATTATTTATTTTGGATAAAAGAATTATTTTGCTTAAATCTTACATTCTAACCTAATTGATAGCCATGGTGTTTTTACAAGGACGTATAGTCTACAAATAAATTTTAAAACCTGACGAGTGTTGACTGAAACAATTATAATTATGTTAATAGTTAATTAAGAGATCTAAAATGTTAAGTAAAATTCATTTTTTTAATACAGTAATTGACATAAATAATTTTTTCTATTATGATTAGCCATGCTAAGACTCGGGGAAGAGTGCCCTGAGAACATCTTGGTTTTAAAAAAGAGCAGTGAGCTAAAAATGTTTGGAAATTCTTTTTTATAGTATTTTATAGTATAATAGTATTAAATTATTTCAAATAAAGCTAGTTGGCTAGAAAAAAGTTGCTGAACAAATTATTTATATTATACTACTATAAATTGTTCTTTAACAGCTTTTTTTGTATTTGGAAAATATTTAATTGATAGATATCATGTATAGAATAAAGAAGATATAGTTGACATAATATTTTTTTTATCAAAAAAATGAATTAATTAACATTTGAAATTTATGTATTATAATTTTTTTGTAATGAATGAATTTGGTTCTTTTACATTTTTAAAGGGTAAACAGAAAATTTAATTTTATACTCTCAGATGATATGAAGTAACGAATACATTTTGAAATAATGCCATTAAATATTTATTTTTTGTTTATTTTAGGTATCTCTTATTAAGGCAGAAACAAGAGCATCAAACATATTTGATAAAATAAAGAATTATACACGACCAGTGAAAGTTGTAGAAGAACCTAAAGTTAATTCAAATATAGAACTCCCACCTATAGTTACAGCTTCAGATCTTATTCAAGCTCAAATAAAAAATAAAATGCCAGAGCCAAAAATCAAAAGAGGAATTAAACGAGATCATTTAATGCAACAGTCAATGAAATCATTTGTATTTTCGTCTACTACTACTTCTGTAACAGATAATGAAGAATGTGCGACAAAAAAACCTAGAATAGAGAATACTGATAGTGACATGGAAATATCTTCAGATGATGAAGTTCATATTATAGAAAGTACTAATATAAATGATCCCAGACTCTCTCAAACTCCAATTATAGTAGAAGAATTATATCCTGAACAGCAAACAAACTATGCATTTAATGTTGAACCCAAATTCAATGAATCATTATATTATCAAACTACATCTACTAATATACAAGTACCCAAGATAATTATGGCTTCTAGCTTAATAAAAAATAACCATGAATCCAGTTCAACATATGATTCATCTAAAGATTCATTAAATGTTGAAAGTGACTATTTAGCTATGAATAATATGCCACCAACTAATCAAGACCAAAATGTTCTTCTTACGCCTAATAACACATGTTCAAATAGTATAAAAAATACGGAAAACGGTTTATCACACATTCAATCTAAAAGTAACAAATCATTAATAGCAGAAAAAAATGTTGCTGATATTTTTAAGGACATTTCTGAAATTATAGCTCCATCAGAAAATGAAAAAGATTTAACTATGCAACTAAATGAATTTCCGGTACAGCAAAAGCAAAATGATATTAAACAATCATCAATTGAACATAGATTACATGTTCAGCAAAATGTTGAAATATCTGCAATGAAGAATATGAGTAATCTTTTTGGTGAAGATAGTGATGATGAAAGTAAATTAGCATTAGTTGATGTAAAAAAAAAATCCTTAGGTGTCCGACTTAGTATGTCATCAAATGTAAATATTACTAATAAGATAAACAAAAATTCACAAGAGTCAATGAAAATAATTAAAAACAAGACTGAGGATCCGAATAACAAACAAAAAAAATTTGAGTTGTCAAATCTGGTTGTAAAATTATTAAACCCTTACTACAAAAATAATTTATTTAAAACAAAAGAATTATTTAAATTTATGGCAAGACAAATTGTTCATAAGCTTTTGGAGTCTACTAGTCATCCAGGTAAATTAATATATTTAATGCTTGAGAAAAATTAGATAATATGTATAAAAATCTTATTGTAACAAATATGTTCACTAATATTTGTAGAAAATTGGTACAAATTGGAAAAATGTTTAAAATTATTAAAAAAAAAAAAAAAAAAAAAAAAAAAAAAAATTGATTAACATTTTACAAAAACATAATATATTTGTTAAAAATAAAAATTAATTTTAATAGTTTAAAGTTATGTATAAATTGTTGACTTGGTAATTTAATTATATTTGTATAAAATAAATCATTACTATTTTTCAGAAGAGCAAAACATCAAATTAATTATCAGAAAATTATTTCCAAAGGAACAGAAAATAAAGATTGAATCTGAAGATCAAATATTGAAGTTATTAAGATCAATTCCTTAATATTTCATATTTAATTTAATTTTATAAATTGTTATATTTTTGTTGAATAATGTGTTTGTTCCTTATAATTTTACTTCAGTAAGTGTTATCAGATTTAAGTGATAAAATTAAGTTTATTTTTATATATTTTTTAATTTTATTTTATTTTGCTGAAAAAAGACTTATATTAGTTATATTTAATTAATTTTTTTTTTTAATGAAAGAGTTAAAAGGATGACTTTAAATATTTCTATCATTTTTAAAATAATTGTAATTTATTTATAAATTTGTAATATTATTATGTGACTTAAAGTTTGAATAGTTGGACATAATTAATTATATATCAAAATAATACCTATTTATAGGTAAATTGGTAGTCCGGTAATTAATTTATATTGATAACATGGACATAGACTTTGTCAGATTTAAATACTTTTTCACCTTAATATCAGTATATCAGTTATTATGTCTTACATATCTTGATGATTTAATAAAAATAAAACCATTTTCCAACAGTTTTTTTTTAAAAATATTTTGTAATTTTATTTTATGGGTGCATGATTAATTTTTGTCAATGTTAGTATAAATTTTAGATTAAAATGAATTCTGATTGATATCCTTTTTTAAACTGTCACATTTTTGATGATGAATTTCAATTTTTAATGCAAATATTTAAATTTCTTATAAACATAGATAAAATTATTTTCTATAATTTTTATAACAGGTGATTTAACTATTAACTATCCAGTAAGCTGTATGTATTGGAAGACATTTAACATGTTTTAATGTCATAGTAAATACTATTACACTTTCTTAGTATGAATGTCTTAGTTATATGGAGGTTTGCTTAATGATGTCAAAACAATAAATATTTAAATAAATAGAAATTAAATTGTATTAATAGTAAAAAAAAAACTGAAGTTTTTAAATCTTGACAACTGTTTTTATATCATTGATTTAATTAGTACTTATCATTAACTTTTTTTATTCTTCAAATTAGAAATTTGTTTACGTTAACCTTTAACACAACCTTTTAAGATATAGTAAATTCAGGTATAATGAATATTTAATAAATAAATTGAAAAATTTATCGTGTCATAGATTTTACAAAAAATATTTTTAAAACACTTTTTTTGTGCTTCATTTGATACCTAATTCTATTTTTTTCCAGTATAAAAATCAAACAGATATTACAGAATAGTTTTCATATTTAATTACAGATTTGATTAAACTACTTCCTGTAAGCTTATGCAGCTTGTGTTGGAGATCAGCAGTTATGATTATTATTAAATTATAATAATTATAAACATATTATGAATAGTATTAAACAATATTACAAATACAATTTAATGATCACAATAAATAATAAAGATTAATACAACAAATAAGAAAATTATAATTATTGACACATTTAATAGTTTAATTCAAAAAATAAGTATTTAAATACTAAGCCAGAAATTCTCAACCAGGGTGCCGCATAATTATTTGAAATATATTTTTTTAAATGTAATATGTGTAAATAGCATTATAGTATGTACCTAAACTTTACTACTTTTTTATATACTTATTTACTGATAATGAAACCGAAGTAGGTAGTCTATAGAGCCTAGGGTGTCTCCAGATTTTTAGAAAATGACTAAAGGTACCGCAAGTCAAAAAAGTTTAGGAATCTTTGTACTAAGCATTTAATATTAAAATTTCAATTCTAAATACATATTTTCTTTTAAATTCAAAAGGCATAGAATTGAAAAAAGTTAAACCTGAATAATCCACAAAAGATTTATTGATATACTTAACCTTCAAATCAAAATTCCTTAATCTTTTTTGTTAATTAACTCATCATAATGATTAGATACCTATCTAATTTTAAGTTTCTTAATTTATTATATCCTAACATTTTTTTTTAAAATTGGTACTTAATTATATTTTAGTTTATAAGTTTAACCTATTCATTATTGTACAAAGAATATGTATAGATTCTAGATTTATTTCATTAAAAAAAAAAAGTTAAAAATTAAAATTTGTATTAGTAGTTTATTAAAAAAAAAAAAAAAACGTAAGATATTTTAATTTCATTTTCTGATAGCAAATGATCTGAAAATGAGTATAATTGATAGGTATAAAATGTATGAATTAACATTGATACCTATTTTAAAATTGACTGTTGTTAATGCATATTGTAATTATTATTTTCTTTTTTTTAACTTTTATTATAAAATATAAGGCATACAATCTAGAACTTAAACTATTACAATAAGCATGCGTGCGGAATTATAGCTTGACATTGGTACCTGATAAAAGCAGCCACCCCAATGACGATACTTTATAGCATTTTCTTTATTTAACAATATATGTTGTTTAGAAAAATTTCTAAGTTAATTTAAATTGCTTTATAGTAATAAAATATTTTATACTTACGTTTTAAATGACGTGCCAATATGCCATTCGCCTTTAGAAATTCAGAATACAATTTAAAACTTAAACAATTACCGCGGTTCACATTTTTTTTTTAACAGAACATTTAAAATGAGAATATCAGTGTAGCCAACTATAAACGTGTAAATCGTATTGCTATTTTTGCGAAGTCGCGTTCACTGCGACTTGAATGATTCAAACATAACCTGTAAATTTACTTGTTCGATTTTGTATTCTTAATTTTTCATTACGTTCACGTCGGAGACATCCAAGCAAAACTTGGATTTGGCGTTTCCAACGTTTTACCCTTCATCATGGTAAGTGAACTGAATTTATTAAATATTCTAATTATTGTTGTTCTATTTTTCAAACAATTATTCGCCGATAAACGCTCATTTAATGTCAATGTATTTAAGTAGCACAACAAACGATATGTCGTACTAAAATCTAATGTCACATGTGTTATTATTTTCAGTCGTCGAAGAAGACGTTTAAAATCAAGCAAAAGCTTGCCAAAAAGATGAAACAGAATCGCCCTATTCCACAATGGATTAGGATGAGAACTGGTAACACAATAAGGTATAATCTACTATATTTATTTTATTACATTTCTCTAGGTATTCAAGTTCTGGAACATAAATATTACTAAGTTTATTTTTGGCAATTGTAGTGTATACCTATTATTTCATCGTATAATATCTATTTCTTTCGTTCTCTGTTGCATTTCATTCGTTATTTCTCACAATTAACATGTCGTAATTATTGAATTGTTGCACATGATTGAACCAGACAGTTAGGTATTGTGTTAATGCATTGTTCATTTGATTGTTTTTGTTCCTTTTTATTATTTAATAATCAAGTAGCGCAAGTATTCCTCTAGTTATTTACTTTATAAATTAGATAAGTTTTTGATGGTAATTATCAAAAAATTAAATTGAATAGTAATTCTTTTACTAGCTGTTGTTGTATATCATTTAAAAATATATCAAGACTTATAAAGTATTTTAAAAGATAGCAGATTATTATAAAATATGATTGGAATGATTGTACGAGTGTTGTAGTAATGTGATATGTATGTCAGACTTAAATCATTCATCATATCCATAAGGCATAAGTAGATGTTTTCGTTAACCTGTCATTTGTTGTGGGGAGAGATTCTCTCTTACAATTTTATTTTGGTTGCCACTGTTTTTTTACATTATTTTATGGCTTAATAGTTCTGCATTACTTATTAGGTATATGATGAACAATAAAATCACATAATGCACTTTTTTCTATTTTGTGTTGAGTCAGAGAGATAATGAGAGAAAACTGTGTACTGATATCTTCTAAATAAAAATGTAAATTTTCCACAAATTCAAGTTGGGCACCTTGGCCTAATGATTATTTTTGTATCCTAAACATATAATTATTCATAAAATAACTTCATTTTTATTTTATTTTTATTCTAATAATGTTTTTAATGTTATTTCAAAATTTAATTTGTTATTATATCATTATTTTTTGAAATTAAAGTTTTTCAAGTTTTTATCCAGTGATAAAATGTATTTACATTAAAGAAAAAATTGTAAATTTAAATTGTCTTTAAATAACTGGAAAAGATTCCAAATTTTATAAATTATACTATGTGTAAAAAATGAAAATTTAAACATTCGTTAAAGATTTCAAGTTTCTACGATTATCTATTTGGTTTTGAACTATAACAAAATAAAATGGTTTTTCATAAAAATATTTATTTTCCTTTTTTTTGTGTGGGTTATTTTGAAAAGTACCCGCAGTTTTTATTTTTGATTTCCTAAAGTTCTTACTATATCCAATTTTTTAAAATTGATGTCAATATCACTCTCTAAGTTTAAAATTAAAGCATTGTTACTACTCAAAAGATAATAAACTAATCAAACAGAAACAAAAATATTGTAAAATCAATACATTTTCATTGCTTTACTTAAAACAGTGGTTTCAAATTCAAATTACCAATGAGCCATAAATATTTATGACAAAGTTTCGTGGGCAAAACACTTTTTATAATTATTTTAATATTAAATTTAAAATTAACAAAATAAACTAAGACAAAATGTATTCTGATTATCATGATTGACGTGTGATCATAGAAAAATCCTGTTATGAATTTAAATATAAAACATTTTATTAAACAAACAAAAATTCAAAATATTTATTGTAGGTCGTGTGTTTAAGACCACTGACTTAAAACCTAAAAGTATAAAAATTATATTTTTAAAAGAATAAGTGTAAACAGTGACTTGGGTATTTGTACTTTGCTATTCAGTGAGAGAACATGTACTACTTAAAATCTTGCTATCGAGATAGATTTCACTGTCACAGAGTATGGCCTAGGTTAGGTTAGGTCCTATGTTAAAAGAAGTAAGAACCTTTTTTCTTCAGGCTGCAGTATGTTTTCTTGCTAGACTAATAATAATATTTTTTCTTTTAATACCAATATTATTTTAGAATTGGTATCTAGTTTTACATTACTATAAATGTATCATTAAATGAGTCGATTTTAATCATTGTTCTTTTTAAATTACAGATACAACGCCAAGAGGCGTCACTGGAGAAGAACTAAGCTCAAGTTGTAAACTATGCTGATACTGATTTACCATTTCTGCGGGTACTTTAAATATTATTCAGATGAATAATAATTATGTACAATGTTTAATATTCAATAAAACTCCAAAAATTAACAAAAAAATTTTTTATTTAATATTTCCAACTATTTACCTTACTTCGTACATAAACATTTTGTTTTACAGAATAGGTTTCCTGATTTATAATTGAATTATTATAATGATTTCATCTTGGTTATAAAATTTATATATTTTATTGAAAAGTATTATACCTTATGTATTCATGTATATTATATTCTATTATATTATAATACTAAAATCCGTTCTATAAGTGCATTTATGGAATAATAAACAAATCTTAATTTATTATATGATAATATGATGTCAGCCGGCATGGATTTTTATCGGCTAAATCTTGAAACTAGTTACAACAGATAAAAGTTCCCGCTGGCTGACGTCATAACATGTGTATCACAGAGTTGCTGTCATATCTAAGTATTTAGTTATGTTCTATCCATCATGAGAAGGAAAATTAAAATATCTTGGATATTAATGAATACTAAGTTTTAGTTTACAATGTAGTACTTATGGACTTCCTTTCATTGCCTTGAGCTGTTAAATTTTAATGTATGTTATTGAAAAAATATTTTAATGATAGATATACTCAGTATGTGTAATGTTTCCTAAATTTTATAACATGCACAATATTAATTATTATTTTGAGCAGTAATTGTTTGTTAACTAATGTATCTGTGTTGGGGGATGGGATTTATAGTATTTAATAATAAATATACTTGTTTAAAAAGTGGTATATTTAAATTATGTAAATGCTAATTGCATAACATTTAATTAAAAATAGAAATCTATAATTGTTATTAAGATTTTAATTTTAAAGCAACAGTTGGCAATTGGCGGACAAAAGGCAGAAAAACATGTATCTAACACCTAGTGTAGTTATTGTAAAAATATGACAGGGTTTTTTTGTAAGAAACTATTCTTTTAATCTTTTACACCTAATAAAAATTACTTGCTGTGATCTCTGTGGTAGCTAGTTGGTGATATTTTTATAGACCACCACTGATTCTTGATTCATATGAGATTAATTTAAGTATTAATTTAACTGTTTTTGAGTAGGTATTGATTAATAAATTAAGTTAATTATGCCAGCTTATCTTTCTTATTATTAAAGAGAGACAAACCTTTATTTTTGTTCATAACTCTACTTACATAAATAAAACAAAATAATATAAATACTAAATACAATAAGTATATTTTATTATTTATTTTAAACTACTTAATTTTAAATTATTACTAAAAATATGTTTGTATTAGATTGATAGTGCAATTTGTTATTTTATCAGATGTTTTAATGTTTGACTATAAATCTAACAAAGTATAGTCAGACAATAAAATACAGAACTTAATATAATACCAAGTGTCTAATAAAGAAAGTATGATGTTTAAATACTTCTAAAATTGTGTTGGTGTTATTAATAATAAACATGCTATTTATTTGTAAAATATTTGAGCTTTAAAAGAAAATTACACTTATTTTCTATAAAAGAAAAAATACTTGACATTAACTATATTTTACTTAGTCTCTTGGATCATTTAAAATCAATAGTTTGCAAAAAACCTAGATAATATATGTCAAAAATAAGTACAATGTATATTTATTATCTATACACGATGCCTTGTTTCCATTAAAAAAAAAACAAAATATAAAAAGTAAGATAAACTAACTTCTATTTTTTTAAAAAATTTAAAATAAATAAATAATTGTTATTTTTTTGCCCGGTTTACTTTAGTTTTCAAAGGAAATATTAATCGGGGAATAAAAAATGTTCAAATTTTTAAAAAAATTTCATATACAGCATAAATAATATGTGCCTATAAAATTATTGGTCTTTTCAAAATTTCTACTTTACCACGTGGTAGGTATTATTTTGAACTTAAGACACACCTACCTAGTATTGTATAACATTTTAATTTTTTTATTTTAAAAGAGTACGGATATCTTCTTTTTTTCTTAACTACCTATATACATTATACATAGGTAGCAACAAAAACGAATAAAATAATAATTTATTATTGAACTCCTTAATACAATTATAATTAATATGTGTTATGTATCCCTGGTTAACAACCAATTTCCAAACCACCTTAACGGATCCTGGGGTTGAATGTTGAACATTTCCGACAGACCTTCGGAAATCGTTGGCATCATGGCATCCTTTATGTACTGTACCATGTCGTCGTCTCCGCCGTAAACGATCGAATCCACTTTGCCTTCAGTTAAACATAATCGTATAAGATAATGATTAAAAAATAATACTATTAACAATGGATTTTAACGCGCGATTATGATAATATTATGGAAGTCTGTGCGTAATCGCGTACTGTTAGGGAAAAAGAATTTAATTTCACGTTCAGCCGTGGCCGGAGAATCGCTGCCGTGGAACGCGTTGGCTACTGGGTCTGATCCCTGTTCCGTGCCGTAAATGGCTCGCAGACTGACCGGAAACAAACGTTTAGCGTGAAAAACGTTTGCCGGTCCGATCAGCCGCAGCCATTCTTCAACGCAATTTCTTTTAGACAACACGTACACTACAATTGGTGCCTTAGACATGTGATCGACAAGCCTGGTGAAGTATGGAGCCAGCGCCAGGTCGTCGTAGAACTGTGCTGCCTGATCTCGGGTCAAACGTAACACTTCTTTCTATAAAACAATAAAGGTATGTATTGTGTGGAGGGCTTAAAATAATGATATCGTGAATTATTATTTACTGTATTTTCATAGATTTAAATGCGAGATATTACGTAGGTACTATACCCACCACAACCATATTTAAGAATTGTACATCCACGACTGGTTTTTTAAAATAAAAAAAACTGCTCAATATGTATTATTGTTCCAAAAACAATTTTTTTTTTATAAAATTAAATTCATGTTAAAAAATTACAATTAAAAATGTATTTATAGTTCATAAGAATATTATTATAATTTATAACTGACTACCTATGTTTGATATGGCTGCGGCACTAATGTTAACATGATTATATTATTAGCTGTGATAACAAATTACAAAAAGTAAAAAAAAAAAAAACAATATTAATAATTATAAGAAGATTGAAAATTTAAAAAAAATACAGTTCTGTACTCAGAATTCTCAGGGGGTGGTATTTGTGTATAGTTAGGGTTAAGGTTAAGTTGTTTTGGCACTTGAGGTCATTTCCTGCAGATTCCTTAGTTCCTTACCCTTAAATATACCAATATTTATGTGAAAAGAGCGCATCACAAACCGTTATGATGATAAATCCATTTTGTGCCATTATGCATTCTACTTTATACATCAGCTGAGCAATTTCCGGTTTGATGATTGCCAACGTATATTGGAACGTTCGGTCTTCACCATCTTCGTCGTCATCGAAAAACGGCACGTCGGAAAGTGAGACTGGAAGAATTTCATGGCCTAAGACGTGACCAGACGCGCTTTTTCGACGTTCTATGATTGTGGAGCAAACCGACGACGATGACGACGACTGTTTGCGTTCGGACAGCGATCTCGTGCCCAGTGAATCACAGCTGTTTCGAAACATATTCTACCGTCGATTTTTCGCTATTTACGATTGACACTCGCTCATTAACGATTGGGGCGTGGTGGCGAATAAGCCACGGAATTCTTGTTTGTTGACCGATCGCTATGCGATTATATTATAGTCAACCGTTTCGAATAGAACGTTTTCGAAATAAACAACAACGATATAGCCTATTTTCGTGGATATTTTTTTATTTAAGATACGTATAAAATATCTTAGTATAACCCACACAAATAATGTCGTCAATATGTATTTTTATAAAGGTATTATATATATAAATTATTTATAATGTCACCATTTTCACCGGTTGTAGTGATACATACCGGGTTTAAGGACCTAGAATAAATATCCCAGAAAAACTCATTTATGTTTTAGATGTATCTATGATGATATTTATTGGTTGTTACGACGTTTATTTTTGATGAAATTATTTAACAATTGTTTAGCCTGCAGTTCTATGGTTTTACAGTTATGCTGTTACAAATTATTCATAGATTATATTTATTGTAATATGTGATTTTTTTTGGATAGGCAGATTTAAGTATTTTCGTCTGATGCTTCATTCGCATCTAAGTTTATGCGGCCTTGGGTCGAGTCAACAAGACCGTGCGCATACCTATATGCATAATTAGGTATATAATATGGTAACTTCGAAAACGAGAATTATATGTAATAATACGAGTATAGTCGTCAGTTATCGTTGAATTGCATTGTGGAAAACGCCCAGAGCACAGCGTTGCAATTAAACTCGTTCGTACACGGTAGAGGGCTCCAGCGAGAGAGAGAAATAATAGGTTATACTACCATATATTACGCACGTGTAGAGAGATCGCCGAGCTTCCCAACAACCACCACCTATCAGTGTATATTATGCAAATTCTGTCGTAAATATGGAAATTATCGGCAAATAATATGTGCAGCGCGCGCGAATATGTTCCATTAAAAATTGCGACGAGCAAAGTGAAATAATTGTTTTTGATATAGAGGAGCGTGGTTACGTGTGCATACATTATATTACGTGCTAATAAAATCATACAGTACGACAACTCGGTACAGTGTATTAAAAATATAATTATTATAGGCATATATGTACAATATATCATGCATTTTAATCATTATAATATAGTATTGCACGAGCGGACATAAAACACATTAACATTATAGAGTATGGACGTATTTGGCCGCCGGTCATCGATCGATAATGTTCGCAACACCTATTTGATTGCCTTTGACGCGAGCGCGCGCGTAATGAAATCATTTTCCATCGTGTTATAATATATACTGCCGTGCGACAGTTTGTCGTTATCAAATATTCGATATCCGGGATAAATATTAAACGCGAAATTCCCTACACCATTAGGTACACCTACCTACAATGTCCGTTGGATGAAACGCGACAAAGAGGTCTGTCAGCTTTGTGGCATCTCAAATTCTACATTTTAAATTCATTGTATTTTTCATTGTAGATTCAAGTTTCACTACTTCAAAAAATAAAAATGAATATCTTTCGGTGTGCTGGGCTTACGCCAATTATTCTGGTATTCTGATTGAAGCAATTTTTTTTTTTTTTTTTTAGAAAATTAATACTCAATTATAATATTATAAGTGCTTATTTAGCACCTAAGAACTATTGTAACCTAAATTTCAATAAATTAATTTTGTTGGTGAATATATAACTTTTAAGATTTTTGGCTTCCGAAGAAATTGGGAAAACCGAACGTTTATGCATAAAGAGTAAAAATGACATATTTAAAGTTCCTGATTCTATAAATTTCGGATTTCTTGCTTATTTAAGAGTAAGTTTTTTTTTAAAAATAATGTCGGTAAAAAATTCTTTGCTGGGTCAAAATTCTTGAAAATTGAATTCAAGATCCCACAAAAGTTATTATTGTATCTGTATAAAGATGTTAAAAATACATAGGCACATTTTTTATATATATATATATATTTTAAGTAGGAATTTTGACGCAAAACTTGTAATCTAATGTGTAGTTGAAAATTCATAAAAACATTTCTTTTTGTATTTAAGTTTTGAAATTTAGTACAAAGTTTTTTGTAAATAGTTCATAATAAACTATAAAATCTATAAAGAAATCGTAAAGGCAATTATTTTTTTATAGACATTTTAAGTTATAATTTGGACAAAATTACTTATTTTAACGATAAATAATGATATGTTAATAATTTTGTTATAGCTTAAAAACGTTATTCATGGGGATTTAAACTTTTATATCTAATATATAAAATTCTTGCTAAGAATTAATTTTTTTATTCTTCAGTATAACGTTGTAAATAATAAAAAATATAATAAAATACAGTAACGAATATTTTAATATTATTGTAAGTTATTTTTGAATGTGACTTTATTAAGTAAATTAAAAAGATAAACTCTCTTAAAAAAATTTTCGTATTCATGAATTCGTAATTCGTAACAAATTACTATATTATTATGGGGGTAATTTTATTTGAAAAAATTATATCTAAAATATAACATATTTATATACCTTCAGAACAATATTGTGGTTGGGGTTGAAAGCGCCCCGTTGATATTAATTTATTATGAATATTGATCGTGAAGTGTTTATTGACCGGACGTTTGTCACCGCAGTTCCGGTCACGGAAAAATGATTATAGTTCCGGTATAAATTCTGAACAGTGTGAACGTTGGTCTAAGGCCATAAAAGACTCAAAGCATCCATCGCCCTTCATCACTGATGACATACTTTCCGGAGCCTTATCATCTTTCGGTCGGCAAGCTATGTCATCTCTCCCCTAGAGAAGGGGGTTAAACTCCGGCATTTACGCTCAAAGAGCACCGCGTGAGTTTGCATACCGTCTGAATTGAGCGTGCTTGTCGCGATATAATAACGCCCCAGGTCAGCAACAGACAGGACGCGAAACCTCGTTATTTTTTAGGGATTCCGGACCCAATTTTACGATATGACCGTAAACTATTACGAGCTGATTTGCCATATTGAAAAATCCCATTGAAAAGAAAAACGGACAAAAAAATAAATATGGGATCGGGGGTGCGGATTATGAGATCATACCGGCATGAGGTTTTCCGCTTTATTGTAATAATAATGTATATAAATGTATCACTGATTTATTTATGGATGAAAATAACGACTTTAGAAAAAATAAAAATAACCACGGTTTATAGGGACAACATTGACCCGGCGCGACGTCCCGGTGAAATATTTTCGCCTTAGAGTTCCGTTTCCGTGCTGCAGCAAAATATAAGAATATCTGTGCGTTACGAAACTTATATTTTTAATATACAGTAAAACTCGCTTAAGACGCTCTCGCTTAAGACGCTTTCCCGCATAAGACCCTGTTTTTAGTCGGTCCCTAGACATTTCCTATACTAGTCAATGTAAAAATCACCTGTTAAGACGCTCAGTTTTTCTCTGTCTAATCGGGTAAAACGCTCTTTTTTTCAGCAGATTACGATACATTTTAGTAGTTTTGTGAAAATAAAAATAGAATTTTTAGTACTATACGTGTTCTTATCGTTTTATTTTATCGCTATACCTATTTTATCATTACTTATTATAACAGTTTTACTGTATTTCATCGTCTACTCCTACAATAACTACTGGTTTGCAACATTTATCGGAAATTCGGAAAGTATTATCCTGTGTTGAAAATTCCGAAGAAATGTTAGGTTGTCTTAATAAAATTGAAAACTTTCTTGCTGAAACACATTGTCAGAACCTTAAACAATCAAAAATAGATCATTTTTTTAATAAACAATAATAAAATATGTATGTAATAATAATATTTTTTTAAATTAAATTCAGTAGCACAAAAATATAAGTATGTATGTATATTGTAATTATAATTAATTTATAAGTGTATTTCTCATTAAATTATGTTTAATAATAAAAAATAAACTCGATATTTCAACCACATCATTTTGTTTCATTCCCGCATAAGACGCTTTCTCGCATAAGACGTTTTAGAGAGCTGGTCCCTTAAAGAGCGTCTTAAGCGAGTTTTACTGTAGTTGTTTATAATATATTATATAACCATTGATCAGTGATTACATCTGGGAGTGGGATAGGGCTAATTATTAAACATTTCTCAATACTATTATAACCTTTATTATACATTGTCATCAGACGGGACTATTGGCAGCCGACAGAATATTTAGGACTATAATAAAATACGAATAATTATTATTCCAGCTAGGCCTCTTTAAACGACTTTATATAGGTATTGTCGGTATTGAATATTGACTACCTATCAATTATTTATTAAAAGTATTAATTTTTTTAGTATAATTTTCACTGTATTACTAAAAAAAATATCTCTAAATACCTAATATAATAATATTTAAAATAATAACAAAAAGTAAAAACAAATATATCCAATTTATATCTTTTAAAAATTATTTTTCTTGTTGTATACACTTATTTAAAATTAACATTTTTAGTTATATTTCGTGTTGAGTAAATGAATAGACAAATCTGTTAGTAAACCCTTAAGTAACATGCTCGTTCTTCATTAATTTTTAATTCATCACTTGCTTGAAAAAATGTGCTCGCGTGTGATTATCGGTGTCTGGTAGTAATTTGATGTAATTCAAGTTAAGAAAAGCCTTTTTTGCACGATTGTATGATTTTACGCGATACACAGCATAATGCTATTGATAATATTAAGTGCGGTAATATTGTAATAATTATTATCAAACCATATATACAATTACTCTGAAATAGAACATTTTAAAATATTATAGGGGGGGGGGGTAGCTAATTTTGTGTCTGTGTGTGTTACTGCACTAATGTTGTTTTTTAAATACATACACTTTATTTATCATAAATAATAAATATTTTATTATACTGGGTATAATGTCGTAACGCATAACACAACTCGAGTATTGTAGTGTAGGCACTACGAACTGTTTATTTTGTTAATATAGTAATAATTGAGGCGCATCAAAACGTTTGTGAGGAGTGAAGAACAAAACGTGGATATGCGCGTTGGCGAGCGAGTCAAGCTCGTTCGAACTTATCAAACGTTTTCCGGACAGCAAATCGGTC